CATAAACAACATACCTAGCAGGAAATTGCTTGGCGTTAAAGTGAAACAATTCTGAAATGTTTAAGGTCTTGAATATCATCCAGTCGGAGTCTTAGAACGTTATAAAACAAACTGAATTATAAACACGTCAATGTAATATTATGAATGGTAGCTAATATTCCGTAACGATAAGCGAAAATAATAATAACAAGCTTTGTAAATTTTACGAAACCATAGACTTATGAAAGCTTCCGCTTCTTGCACAACATCGAGAAAAAGTATGAAATCAGTTCTTTGTTTCAAACAAGAACTGAAAGTGCCTATTGTTTTAATTCAATTATAAATTCGTAACGTCTCAAAGAACATGGGAAAACAATTACTATTAAAAACACACTGAAACTCGAGTATATTTTTACAAACAGCAACATTCTAAAATATTGTTTTCTAAAAAGCCTTACAAATATTTTAAGTTTTTAAACCTGAGATAGGTTGCTTATTTATTAGAAACGTATTATCATTTGGGCATTAGACTAAATCTTTGGAGTTAGTAATCGATTACTAGACATTAAAGCTTAACGAAGTACTGGGAATGCAGAAGCCTTCGTAATGTATACATTTCTCAGTGGTAAGAGCTTGGAATAAAGCTTAAGTATTCTAAACAAAATCGATAAGCAGCACACAGATACGTACTCGCGCCGAGCCCAGACAATGTTGATTTAACAAACGCAATTACCGGGGCGTCAGTAACTTGTGTCGCTGGCGCGGCCGGGGGCGTTCTGACTATTCTTTAGCATGACAGACGACAGTCTAGATTAATTAGCCCCATTTATTAATGGCGGGACGCGGCATCCTCGTTTTAATAACGCGTCCTATTAATCACATATACGCACGTACTTTGCTCTTATTCGAGTCATTTCGGACTCCATTTAGTTCAAATGAACGAGAGACGGTAATGTTATATTGTATCATGCTTATTTTTAAAACGTAAAGTGTTGTAGCCGTCGTTATTTAGAGGATTCAATATCATCCACCGTCTTCATATATAAGTTTGAGTTGAGCTTGGCAAAACTTGCTATATCCTATTCTATTTTTTAAATAGGGCCATATTATTTTCTGAATCACTATCGATTCAGGCGTTCACAGTCTATATTTTTTATATACTATATGCATTTTAAATAGTAAACTGTACGATAATTTTATTTGGTCTCACTTTACATTAAAATAGTATATTTTAATCAATTTTTGGAAAAAGATTAGCAATAACCAAAATATTTTTTTCTGTTCGCATTTTTCCACAGCACGTTACATATAATTATTTTGTTATGTAATTATAACATTCATAACTTAAAGAATACGTAACATAACTTAAATAAATCGTTATAAAGAAGAAGTTCTTTGAGGCTAGAAAATCATTACCGAAAGCACAGTTAAGAGAATAACAATTTTTCTCTCATATGAAAAATTCCACAAATGGAAAAGTAGAACATAAATCGTGTGACCCGCTACCGACAGCGAGGGGGAGTTTCAGTCATAATTCCAGTTTCATTGAGACAAATATTCATATTAAAAGGGATATTAGACGGGAGCGCGTGCTTCGGATGCAGAGGGCAGCACTGGGTAAGTGAAAATATCTAATTCAATTACGCGTGAAAGTGTAATGCAGTGTCTGAGTTATAGAGATGTAAGCTATAATCATTTTAAATCCATATGGAAATATAAAAGGCACTGTTATATTATATAAAGGTTTGTTTAATATTACAGTCTAACAGAAAAAGGAAACGGGTAATAAACAATCGTAACGTTACTCCCAAGTCATTTTCATAGTAGTATACTGATATTTTATATTATCACAGTAAATTCACATTAGTAAGCTAAAGTGGCAATGGGCCAGCCATAACATAAAGAACCGATAACCGATGGTGAAGAAATGGTAATAAAAAGTCTTGTATTTGCCGTCGTAGTGTAGGACGATCAACAAAAGGTAGCCTGTGTAAATGTAACGACCTGTGTCAAATGATATTGGGAACGATATTTGAATAAGTTTAAATTTAACTGTACATTTAATTAGATTCTATCATCCCATTTAAGCTAAAACAAAAACCCATTTGAAATTTCACTCAGAAAAACACCGGCACCAATCCTTGTCTGCTTTCCGAATGGTGTACGTGCTAAATACACAGTAATATATTTGTGACCGATTTCTACGCCCACTACTTGTCACGTTTCGGGCTTCATAAACCATGTGAAATGTCAGGGTTAGTTATGTATGCCTGCTCTGACAAGGATCAAAACTGAAACTCATATAATAATAGTTATCTATGTTTTTGAGAACAGCTTATTTAAGCATTTTATCGTTTTATCGTAATTTAATTTTATCTTCCCGACTTTTGTAAAACTTAATATCAAAAGTCAACTTATGGTTAAAGCATATTATACCAGTTACCATAGTTAATACTGTTGATACTGACGTAGGTTAGAATAAGACTATTATACTTGTATGTTAATATAGTAAACTAATACTTTTGAGAAGAGTAACTGTTGAGTCTTGCCGGTCTCTTCTCAACAGAAACTGCTTTCCGAAGCGGTGGTACCTTACGAACCTATGTACATATTTTTTGATGTAAAATTTGACGATTCATAAGAACGCGCAAGCCTCTATTTCAATAAATATATTTTTGATTTTGATTTGATTGTATCCATGGTTACAAGACAGATTGACTTCCTCGAGTTGCAATTATATGGGTAAACGATAATCCATGTTCAGTACTTGTGTACAAATTGGAGTAGCATTCGTAAGAATACAAGAGAGACGCTTTTGCAAACAACATTTCTTACGTCGCCACAGAAATTTAAAATTTAAGAACGTAGGCGATACTTTAATGGTGTGCGCACTTTGCGTTCGACGCCACACTCGATCCGCGAGAACTGCCTCTCGCTACCCTCGGATACGTGACATGTATGAATTAAAGAGCTACCTGGGAGCCAAGATTATTTCGCGAATGGATGTGTCCTTTGGCCGCTATATTTCCTTCGTTGGAAATTTCTGGTCTATAATTCGAAAAATATGGAGTTCAATAAAATTTTTGAAATCTAGCGAAATTACACCCATAACTTGAATTTACAATTATTGATGTCTGTGCTTTCAATCCGTAGACTATTAAAGCTTCATCGAAGTCTGAACTCGTGGGCTAGCCAGAACACATGAGTATGGTATGAATATTTAATCAATTTTGAACACGATTTACACGGTCTATTTAGAGATAGAGTAGAGTATCAAGGGTTCATTGCCTATAAATAATTTCGCTAATAACCAGTACTTCAATTTTTCTAAGTATTTTCTCTGACTTGCATTTTCACGTTTACATATTTATTATTTAATATAATTAAATAAAATAACATTACGTTTTATTGTTTCTTCCCCTTAGGCATATCTAGATGAGCTCTTAGTAGCATTCCAGTACTGTATATTGCGGGGAGGTATATCCTCATTTTGGAGTCATTACACGAAATAGTATCAGCGCACAAAGTCCCAAGGGAGAGGGGAGCAACTTTGTGGTTGTTTGTTTATTCATTTATCTGTATATTTTGGTTAATTACGTTTTAGTTAGGTCCAAGACGTGAATTAAATCTTCCTCACTCTTGTCACATTAACTTTGGTGAAAATATAGACGAAGATTATAATCTATTCTGATATCGTTAATAAAAATAAGTATTTTTGTTGTTCTAAGTTTGATCTCAAGTTCGCACAGGTTAACGCACCACAAAGTCGATAATTATTGTACAGAAGAGATGGAGCATAAACTAATCTTAGGTCCCTTGGGCCTTGTACTGGCTATACTATTTGATGATTACATTTCAATTATCTACTTCAACTGGATATTGATAATCGATTGTTAAATGTACTCGAAACCAATCTAGTTTCATGTTATTTTTTATAAAATTTGTAAATGATACATGTTTTTTACATATTTTTAAAAAGAATACTTATTTTTACGTACAGAGTAGTAATTCTTGTCAAAAAGCTTTATAACTCTTCATTTTATTATATTTAATTATTACAAGCTATCACGCAAACTATATACCGCATTTCCCTAATACTACTAGAAGAATTATTGTATTTTTTCAAATGACAAACCATTTCAACCTCCCTCATTTTAATGATAAACACTCACAAGCTTCTGTTGAGCAATTTAAATAAAGTAATTCAAGATTGCTTTTTCGCCCGTAGACTCGAATTATTTAACGCAAATCCATCCGAGAGTGAAATGAGCAAAACATGGCCCGACTCCCGCAATTACCAGGTTTCCTGTAACAGATTGAACATCAAAGACTCCTTTAATTAAGCCTTAGGAGGGTCATAAATAGCGGGCAAAGTAATGTAGAAATATTTACTTAGTCCACGAACGTTTTAATTGAGTCGACGAAATTTCTTATGGCAGCTTTGAACTTGGAATATCGCGATAAACACGGCGACATGATACCGTATCGGCGTATTACGATTATTAATTGGTTCAAAGCGGATAATTAACTTGTTCACCGTGTACATTGCTTATCACGTTAGTTTAATTAATGTATGCAGACAATAGCTCTTCTTATTGGATTTTCGCGTTATATATTATACTGCCGTAAAAGGAAAATATTGTTCCAATAATTGAATTAGTAGTTATTTCTTGACTCGTTGATTTGAAATCTCTTATAAGCCTTTTTTCATATATTTGAATTATATTTATAAATATAGACTGTATTAATGTTTCTAATAATTTGGCACCAAATATTTGTTCATTTGAAATATTTCTTACGTCCTATTTCAGAGAAAAGATTAATTTCTATTAAAGGTTATTAACATTTGGCGCGAAATATCGTCAGGGCGTATGTCATGGGTTGTTTGGAAAATGAGAAGTAGTAATAACGCTTTAAAAAACCTGAAGCATGATAGCTTTAGGTTTATAGTCTACTACCATTATTTTTATGTTTATAACCTGTACATCTATGGTGAGAATAAGAAAGAGTCAACAGAGTACATGACGTATCACAACGCCACAGACACGATAGTATCACGTAAGCAAGAAGTAAAAAAAATATTATCCAAATTTTAATATTTGAAAACAAAAAAGGCGCTATTCTCAACTGTTTTAAACTAACTAAAAGACACATATGCCGCAAACTTTTATAATATCGTAACAGTGATATTTGAGATTACAATCACATCATTTACTTAAAGTATATGTCAGCTACCTTGTTAGGTTTACTCCGTCTAATATATTTTATCATTAAATCTTGTTTTAATTAATTTAACATCTGAACTGTTGAAACTGTCTCCAAAAGGGTAGTACCAACATTTAAGGTGGTTTATAAGCGCTATTCATTTCACTATAATGAGACTAGCCGCTTTTACTTAAGGAAATGATTTAAGTTTATGAAGGTTACAGGCTATGCTTATCAGATCAGTCGCACAATTAATCGTTTGATGTGAAAACGTCAGGAGATACGCTTTACAGAATTGAACACCATTTGTGCGAATAATCGAGAATGAATATGGAAGTTGTTCAAAGCAAAGCATTCAAGCGCAATGTTCCTTGAGCTAAGTTGCTACTGTTATGACTTATAGCAAATATGGATATTACAATCAGATACGTATGTACATGTTATTATAACGCCTGAAGCATTCAGTATTTTATTAAAATTTTGCCCCTTTGAGGTAACTTCTGTTTGAAAGAAACCAGAAGAATACACTTCCCCCACCCTTGCCTCGCTAACTTGCGGGACCTCCTCACTCTCCTCTGCCCGGATAATTAATGCCACAATTTATGAAAATTTTATTTCGCCCACAAACGCGCACTCCCGTTATTTGATTATTAATAAAATGAGTTTTATTTTGTCATCCATTTGCATAATTGTTTCATTTTCACTTCGAGCGGCTAAATTTGATAAAGTTCGCGACTGTCGAGGTCTTTAGGAATGGATTAATAAAATAAGTTTCCAAGATTTTTGCTTGCGTAAGTTCTCTTTGCATATTACTATTACAAAATTCTCTCTTTACCCAGAATTTTAGTAAAATGATATTATTTCGTTTTAATGAAACAGATTTCTAAGATTACTTCTTTTCTTGGAAAAATGTTCTAGAAACTGATTTGCGCATTTACCGATTTCTAACGGTCAATTATGAACATTTAAACATCCAAATATATCGTCCATTGGAGTCCACTAAAACTGATACAACTACGCGGGGCCGTTATTAATCGTAAAACTAAACTAAACTCAATTAACCTAAGGAGAACACCATCGAAGCATTCCGCTCCAAGACCGCGTTAAACCAAACAAACCGTTACATTTTTCCGTGTACATTCTAAGAAATATTTTTATACTCAGTTTTATAGTGTTCTTTAACTTTTTACATTTAATTCAGTGATTACTTTTATGCTTTATTTCTGTACTTTTCACTTCCCTACCTATCTCAAGTTTTACTCTCCTGATGTATCCATTTGCGAAAACTTCTAAATGGCTATCTCTTCACAATTAATTAACATCTAAGTCGTTGTATGTTACCTGTAAGTTCTCCATGAATAAATAGAACGAAATAAAAAAAAAATCCCAGAATAAGTGACCGAGCTGACCGTGTATTTTGAGAGGGAAACGCTCACCTCGGCCGGTATTCAACGGTGACCCGATATCGAACTACCGGTTTCATAACAGCTGCACTCGCCGCGCCAAATCGAAAGCGCGGGCGTTTCGCAAATGGAACACCTGAGGCGGCCGGACAATCTAAACTTGCGTCGCGAACTGTCACGCCGCCATTCCGGGCTAATTCAGAACTGTCCGGAACGGCGGCGTCGGATTTGAGCGGCGTTTGCGGACTTGGCGCGGTTCATGAGGAATTCGTGAGGACCGCAGCGTCGCGCGGCAAGGACGGTCGTTAGCAGCTGTTCCGCTACTCGGAAACAATCGAAGATAGTGCTTGATATACTTTAGAGATTTGTTGGGTGTTTAGAATAAGGAGATTATATTTATCAATCATAGACTAGCGAATCATTTTTAGTTACAAATAAAAAAAACGTGTGTATAGTTATGTACCCTTAGGAAATTATACCTCTTTAGGGTAACAAAAGAAAAATTACTAAAAGTTTGCGAAGAAGACATTAAATGCAATTGATAACGGTTTTAATAATATAAACTATACTCGCATGTCCATGAAAATGAATGACAAGAGAAGGTAGAGAGAAATCGCCTCTATGATATGTGCATTCCATTAGGCTTATTATGTATTAAAAGAGAGACAAGGTGTGAGTGAGTCTGTCTTAAACAAAAGAGTGAAAAGAAATCATTGAAAACAGATCTTGAAAATTCAAGTGTTTAAATTTTTATACTTCTAACATCTGCTTTTAAGATCATTATCACCATCATCATTTCAGCCTGTTTGAGTCCACTGCTGAACATATTCCTCCCCCACAGACATCCATCGACTTCCCGGGCTTAAGATCAAACATTAAAATTTGTAGAAAAAGGGAAGGCCGCGACAAAAACGTTTGTTCGTCCTTTTTTCTACAAATTTTAATTTACTGTGAGTTAAACAATAGTGTATAAAAAATGAGTACAATAGTTTCGGTGAAATAATTTTGTGAAAAGTGATGTATATTCGTACTTCAACTCTTTGGTGTACAAAGACACGGTACTTGGATAAATATGCGACAATACAATAATAATAATCATATAATTTTATTTCTAATCAAATAGTAATCAACTGTACCTACATTAGAAATCCACACCTCCACCAGAATTAGAGAGAGTGAAGTGATTGGTTCTGTTTAAAAATAGTTTCCACTTTAACTACGTTTCCATTTTGAGAATATTGTTTTTCCAAACATTTGGTGAAAACGGCAATAATGTAAGAAAAGTCATATTCAAATCAAGTGAAAAAATGTTTACAAGAAATGATAATAAGTTATCATCATTCCCCTCCCTTATCCCTAGTTGGGTTCGGTACAACATGTGAATCATGTTGTTAGTGGTTTAGACTATGTTTTTCATCAGCCTTCTGTCTGTCACAAACCTTTTTGGGGAATAAATATCTAGATCGGAAAATATGTAAGTAAAAATTAAATACAAAAACAGATTTCATGGTCAGCTCTGCCTGTACCTTTTGTTACAGTCTAAGAGCAAAAGGCATTATAGTACTACACTACTAGATACAGGACTGTCACTAACGCTTCACATAAAGTGATTATTTGCAACAAAGGTCTTCTTAAAGAAGCTTTATGAATAAATAAAGCATGTGGGTGGAATGTATGTCATACCTTATGACATTAAGACGTCAAAACTTCATACTTTCCCTTTAATATTCGATGCTCAAAACGTCGCGTCAGAACTTGGCAAATAAAATTGTACGCAATATCCTTAAAAAAAATTCGCCTTACATTCGCTATGTAAAATAGCCAAATCAATTATACGGAAGAGAGTTGATTTTGAGATCCATCGTTAGCATTTGATTCATAGGTCGATTTTATTATCCGTTTAAGAAAATATAACAGGCACCATATGCATATTAGGTATCGCAATAGGCATCTCGTCAGTGAAGAAAATTAAGGCATTCCGTTACTTTTTCATCTAAAACGAGTCCCCAATCGAATAGTATCGGAGTGCCAGCGCAGCATAACGGACGGAACCGGCGTACACCTATAGATTGATAAGCGGACGCATCTCATTATCGGCAAGTCACCACTAGTTCATTATCGCCGCGGCACCGACTCGCACACACTTCGTTACCGGCCGAACACGACGGTGGAATTGAATCGCATTCACATTTAATAGCCGGTAAACAGCGCTCCATTTCTATATTATCTGTATGAAGCCTTTTGGAATAATTAACATTCCTAGAGCTGTTATTACCGCCCGTCTCTCTTATGCAATAGTCACATGTAACGTGCTGTAAGCAGTGACGGCTTAGTTCGTGGGACGTCGGTCTACCCTTCATAAGATATCAGTGCTTCAAATCTAAGTGGCTAGCATTAAAAAGCATTTTGCACTTCTCAAGCGAAACCACTACGGATTTTTTTTGTTTTTGCCTTGCTTGATCCACCACTGTTGGCCTTACAGATCCACCGATTATTCCAAGATATTCAGATTACTGTCCCCGTAACAGATTCTGAACCAAGATCCATTGAATTAAATGATAGAAAAAGAAGATATTCTAAAACTCCTCCTCCTCGTTTATCTGTCAAGGAAAGATTGTAAACTGTAACTGGTGGTAAAGTAGAAGATGTTCGGAGGACATGAGAAATGCGTGTTGTACAAGAACGAGTGAAATCAAGATCTAAAGCCCTTAAAAAAGATCAAATGTATCGTAGAGTTACAGTAGAAAGGGAAAGAGTTTGTAAATCCGACTCACTCAGTCGGATGAATACATCTAAATCAGATAAACGTATTATAACCGGGCTTGAGGTGGCCGGGCGCTGAGCGTGCTCAGCCTGTACCTCGATTTATGGGTGACTAAGCTCGAGGGCTCCCGAGGGAGCCTTGGCTCGCGCCGTCACCCTATTATTATTATTTTCATTCACTATTATTATTATTTATTAGGTCCCTTTGGCGGACGCTCCATGGTGACTCCATGAGTTTGTAAATCCGACTCACTCAATCGGATGAATACATCTAAATCAGATAAACGTATTATAACCGGGCTTGAGGTGGCCGGGCGCTGAGCGTGCTCAGCCTGTACCTCGATTTATGGGTGACTAGCTCGAGGGCTCCCGAGGGAGCCTTGGCTCGCGCCGTCACCCTATTATTATTATTTTCATTCACTATTATTATTATTTATTAGGTCCCTTTGGCACGCTCCATGGTGACTCCATGAGTTTGTAAATCCGACTCACTCAATCGGATGAATACATCTAAATCAGATAAACGTATTATAACCGGGCTTGAGGTGGCCGGGCGCTGAGCGTGCTCAGCCTGTACCTCGATTTATGGGTGACTAAGCTCGAGGGCTCCCGAGGGAGCCTTGGCTCGCGCCGTCACCCTATTATTATTATTTTCATTCACTATTATTATTATTTATTAGGTCCCTTTGGCGGACGCTCCATGGAGTCACCAGGCTCAAGGGCCCCCGAGAGGCGACCTCGGCTTGGGCTGAACTACCTCTGTCTGGTGCCATTAAATTAAAATAATTATGTTCGATTTTAGAAGTGGAAGCTTCTATAGCCGCCGTTGAACATTTTTTTTACCTACAATACCTTTATTTAACAATGAGTTTTGGTTGAAACCTAATTCAATAGAATTTTATTACTTGTCTGAAATTGGTTACTCTTACAAAAGTGTGAATAAAAGGTAAAAGTAATTGATTTTGTACTGTATTCATAAAAACGTTGTATATTTAATCAAAAAATATACTACACATAGGAATTACCATATCACAGTAGCAGTTACAGCTCTGTAAACTTCCCATCGTCATTAAACCAGCAAGGCGGCATGCTGCTGTAGGTTGTTAACCTGTCCCACCACCGTTTACATCTGATACCCGATACGCCAGTATCTTTGTCTATCGGGCTACCTAACTAATGTCCTCGATATTAAAATGAGAAACTCGCTATTAATAAAATAGGATGTGAGACAACAAATGAATGCTTACTTTTCGTTTGAGAAGCAGATAAAGTTCTTTTTTATCATAATATAAGAGCGTAGCTTTTTAAGCTTGGTAAGTACCTAGGCCACCGTAAATGGTAAGCTTGTCGCCGTAATCTAGACGTAAAAATTTAAGAGACCGTTTTAGCTAAATTACTAACTTATGACATGGTTTAGTCAAGGCCTAAAACTTAGTCAAATCATAATAACTTATTTCAACATATATAGGCGAAATAGCAAAAAAAACACTTAAAACGTGCGTCATTGCAGTCATTCTGGCTAATCAGTGAGACAGAAGTCGAGAAACTTGGTACTCGGAATTCACTAATGAGCGGTGGTCTTATTAAAATGTTCATTTGATCATATTATAGCGGTGACAAATAAACAAGGCGTGACACAACGGGACGGAAACGTGTGACCGAATTTCTGTTGCGTTACTTCGAAAAATTGGAAAGTTCGCCGTCGTTGTCGCGGGGCGTGAATATTTTACCGTTTAATGTCACGTGAGAAAAATGTAGTGTTGCCATCGTTGCGGTTAAACCTCCAAGCTTAACGGTTTTGATTTCGCTCCACTAATTTGCTTAGTGTACTTAAGCTCAATTTTTCCAATACAACTTGAGGCATATATGGTTTACTTCTAGCGAAGGCGTTTTTAAAAACCAATGGGAATAACACAATATGAGGTGCCATCCATCCTCAGGTGGTCATTATGTGCCTATTAATCTTGTTTACAATATTTCTATTTCGGACAAAGTATCAGGAAGACTATTTGTCTCATTGAGGCGAGAAGAATAGTGTTATCTTCTCAAAATGTAATGCTAATAGGATAAATATTACGTGTTTGAAATTATTTTAACTTGAAAAAGAAAGAATGAGATTAAGTAAGCGTTTCGATGCTGAGTCGGCAGAGATGCTGATAACCCCATTTTAGTGAACAACATTAGTATCCTTAAGAAACCCGTCTGTTATTTCGTTGGTCTGTGCCTGAGATAAATCTTTAAAAAATGTGATAAATCTTAAGTACTCATATACTTCATGGCTGTAGCGTCGGGCGCATATTCCAGAGGACGTGGGCTTAAAATATCGCTACGGCGAAAACGTTTCGTTCAAATTCCTACAAATTTGAAAACATTATAAGTACATTTCAATTTTTTATAATCTCTGCACTTAAGATTTAACATTAAAATTGTAGAAAACGTACGAAAAGAATGTCGCCGCTGTAGGAATCGAACCCACGTCTTCGGCATTCGCGGCCTGACGCTTTAGCCACTAAGCTAAACGGCTGATTGCCATACCGACGAAA